GAACCTCGATTTTGGAGAGACAGAAAAACTGTGAAAAGGTACCCGCTAGCCGGAACTACGCCTAGTGGAAACGCAACCAAAAACGGGCCGGGCACGGCACACTTAAACCGCGCTCCGCGATGTAGTGGAGATGCGCCATTAGTGCACTGCCTATGAGAGTAATGCAAGAGCAGTGAGCTGTGGTACTAAATGATTATAATAGTTTTTCATACCAGACACCCCACTGCTATTCCATCTGTTCCCACATAGCTAATGTCACCACACCGGCTCTCGGCATATAGACTTCATGGCACCCCGCTAGGAAAATATACATTGTTATATAAACATGCACACATATGCTGAAGGCAAATATACATTCTTCTGCAGCAGGGCAAGAGGAATGTTTCATGCTGATATTTTGCAGGAAGACTTTATGACTGAGAGGCAGCTAGACCTTCCTACATTCACACTCTTAGCTCTCGTTATTCAGAATAGGGCTGCGATACAGCTCCGATTGTTTACAGTTCATTCATTCTTTATTAATCAATGGAGCTTTAACAGTTATCGGTTGATGACCAAAGTGGAGTGTCAACTTTTATATTGATATTCATATTTTAATGCAAAAATGTCAAATATTTCCTTCTTAATTAAAGGGAAAAATCCACCAATAATATCCATCAAAGTTTACAAAAAATCTGATACATTTCCTCAAGTGAGTCATTTTCCTTTGGTGTTGAAACCCAAAGGATGGAAATGAAGAGAATTCTTGGGGTGTGGAGTTATAAAATGAGCATACCAGATATTTAGCAGACTGTAACCCGGTCCACTTCTCTAGTTGAGAATAGAGCATCGATGCTACATTAGCCAGTATTAGCTCCTAACATAACCGAATCATTGAGCACACTATCGACAGTTTTGCATTGTGGGTAATGTAGGTGGCATATTTTTGACATGCAAGAAGATTGGATTTAATTGAAACACACGATACTCATGGGTTGGTTGTAATGATTACTGGGACTCTGGATAAAACAGAGACCTCGTTAATGTCATTAGTAACACGCTATTTCTACTACAGTATGGCGAGTAGAAAATGTCAACAGTGAGACAGATTATCTTATATTTGCAGCGCTGTACACAATGTACTTTTCTGTTTCCAATAGACTACCATTCCTTGTGCCTGTTCTCAGTTTTTTGTCTTTGGCCAAAACACCTTCAGTCCATTGTGTGACTCAGTGTGAGTGGGATAAGGGGAGGGAGCATCAGAGACTTGGAGAGACCCTTAAAGTGTGGGAGATCATACCATGGTGGTCAAACAGACTACAGCTTGCTCAAATGGCAAGTGCCGGTGTAGGAAACAAATCATCTCCTTCAAAACCAAAAAACCTGTCAGTTTTAATCAAACTCATTTATTCATCAGGTTTGGCCTGTAAAAGGTGTTACAGGTGTCAATAATTGAACACTATAGCAGCCGAGCTGTGTTCATGGCCATGTGCCATATTAGTGTTACTGCTGCTGTTTGGTTCTGAGACGATATAATATACACAAACAAAGACGAGGGTGTAGGGAACAAGTCCCACACATTTCTGGGTTGCTGTGCTTTCTGAATACCACAAGAGGGTTGTGGGAGTTGTGTGAAAATTCACAGTTAAGGTGCAAAGATTCATGGTCAAAGTAAAGATTTCACATTAATAATACTTCTGATTGGTTTTATAGTGTAGACACAATCAAGAAGAGGCAGGGTTTATATCTAATCCTGAATGGTCGTAAATATCTCTGACAGTATTATCTCTCCATATTGTTATTTTACAATTGTTGTTTTAGTCTACATGACATTTATTTCATCCTGGAAATGGAGCCCCTCTCTTTTTTTTTCCCCTGTTCTTTCCAAGATAAGTCTGAGGGGATCACAGGATCATTTTACTTTCTTTTCTGATTCTGGTTTTCTTTTGAAATGCTGAATACTTTCACCTGTTTGGAAAATAAAATACTGAGGTACAAAACTGAGCTCGGATGTTCGTTCCCTTTTTGGTTTGCCTGATCGCTCTTATTCCTCTACTCCTCACTCTCCGTATTCGCTGCCTTTTCTCTCTGACTTCTCTTTTTATCTCCTGCAAAAGAGTATTAAAATGATTTTATTATATGATATCAATCTCCTTGCATTTTAATTATAGAAATATGTCTTAAACAGTAAATAAACAAAGCAAAATGTGTGTTATACGAGAATATATATTATAATAATACTACATTATTACGCTATAATTATGCTAGGTGTTTCTGTGACATTGCTGAATTGAGCTTAGGTTCCACTGTAATTACCATAAACAATGCAGGATAAGTCTCTGAAGTAATGACATTGTATGAAACGGATAAGGTCAGTCTGTATTTGTGATAAACAGCACAAGGACATAATGCTACTCCTGTCCTGGGGCCCTGGTCTCTATTATCCATTACCTTCGCTCTTGCTTTGTTTTTCTCTTAATCTCTTCATCTTGTCCAGTATCTCACAAAGCTGAGATTCCCTTTCAATAAAAACGATCAAAACGTTGAACATTTAGTTTAAGCAGAGACAGATTGACCTGAGTTTGCTTGACAATAATTAGTTTACTGTGGAAAACATAAGAATTCATCACAAAATATAACACATTTTTGAACAATGTCTTGTTTCTGTCCATCCCAAACAAGTTTTGTTCTCAGGTTTGGGTTCACAGGTCGTCCCATGTCGTGGGACCTGAACTCCAAGCCACATTTCCCGTCACCTCATTTCCCCCTGTGTCTTCACTTTCTCTCCCACTTTTCTTCCAACCCTCTTGACTTTCTTTGCTTCTTAACTCTTTGACTTTGTCAGCCTTCCCGTCTCTACCCTCCCCTATCATGTCTAATTATCGGAGTCAGTGTGTGTCTACGGGGAGCTCCTCAATACCTCCTCATCAAAGCCTCTGTTTGTGTCTGCTTGTTTATCTCTGGCTGCTATTCTAGGCGCTCTCCTGGAGCCCTGATGAGACTCCTCTCTGCGGAGGCTTATACTGTAAGCTGTCACTGCACCTCCAGTCATTCAAAACATTGCCAAAATGAGACTTTTGTTTGTCTCTTTTTACCTCTGATGTTCTTGAAGGGTATCTCGTGTTAGGGCTGCTCGATTGTGGCAAAAATCATAATCTCGATTATTTGGGTCAATAATTGTAATTGCGATTATTCATTGACTTTGAAAACATCCATTTATTGGAGAAGAAAAATGTGAACAGTATGTTTTTAACAGTTAATTACCCTGAACTTTAAGTATAATTCAACTGAAAAAAAAAAAGTAATAATACAAAAATAATCGTTTTATTTCGATTACGTTTTTGTAATCGTTGCAAGCCATAATCGTAATCGCGATTAAAATAAGATTAATTGAGCAGCCCTATCTCGTGTCCCTCAATCTTTCTAAATATATTACATATGAATACTCTCGTTTGTCTCTCTGCTGATTCTTCCTCTATCACCACTTTAGATTTTGAGAGAACTCCAGTGTATTTAAAAGCATGCTAGAAGGTTGTTTTACCATCAAAAAGAATCCCCTTCCCTTTTCTTCTTTCATCCTTCTGTTTTCCCCCTCCGTACACAGTGCAACTACATTCTTATATTGTTTTATGTGGGCCCTTTTTCTCCTTTGACCCCGCCACCCATCCCACACCTTGAGGACGCTGCAGGAACTTTTTAGGTGTTTGTTAGGAAAAGTTTCTCAGTATGTTAACTACACCCCTTTAGGGCCTGAAAGATCTACCGTATTGGAAGAGCAACAATAGCATCAGCTCTACTGAGTTGCCTTCTGGGAGGTAATGAGAAACCTCATTTGTGGAGAAAGCGAGAGTCGGATGTGGAGAGGGGGTTTTAGGGAGAAATAAGTTATGTGACATATCAGCTTATTTTGCCAGTTTGAATGTAATCTTTTTCCAAGAACTGGAAGTGTCAATGTGAAGTTGTAGGTAAGGTAAGGTCACCATTTAAGTTGTATCTTCCTATTAGTGTCCATAGACAGTAGCTTGTCTGAGGGTTTGCATGTTATGCATCTGGAAAATGTTTTGTTTGTGTATTGCAAAAACGTATTTTACGCTTTAGAGCTCTGTTATGGTGATTAGTGACAACGGCTGTGACAGTGTGTTATTTGCTACAGAAATGGGTCGCTGTATTGCTCAAATCTCCCCCAATATGAGATCTCAGTTGCTGTGATGGCTAAATGTGTTTTTCGTGTAGGACAGATTTCTTTCAACACACAGGATTGCCAGTGACTGGAAGGTTGTTGCTGCCATTGAGTATACAGTGCCAAGTACTTGTGTTTCCCCTTAAATTATTCTCATCATTTAAGTATTTTGTCTGAAACCCACCTTGTGCAGGATTCCATGTGGGCCAAAAATAAGTGTTGCTCTCCCGAGGGGTTGACTAAAAGCAGAGTTGTGGCGTGTGACTGCAGGATTCACTAACGGCTGAGAGCTGGTTGATATGTATGACTTCAGTCTATTCTCTCTCATGTGCCTCTGAGTTTAAAGAAGCTCAAATATTTTCCGATTTAGTGTCAGCTGCAGGGGAAAACAAATATTGCTTATGCTCATTTTCTTCCGGATGCCGGAGGCTGTGTCATGACAGTAGCATAAGGCTTAATAAGGGTAGGGGGAGATGTTTTCGGAAGAGTGGGAAGATTGTGGGTCATTATTCACAAAGGCACATACTACTATGATACTTGACTAATAACATGCTTCACGAATAGCAAAGTCCTGTCTCTGTTGTTGTAGTGCTGCTCCCCTTCCTCTGATGTAGCACTGGTGGGAATTCTGTATTTAAATCCCTTTTTCGGATGGATATGTCAACAGAAGTAAATGCTGAATAGGGGTTTAGGATCATCGCAAGGAATACTTCGAAGAAATGGCCTGGGTTCATTCCCTTGGTTGTAAACGCAGTCATTCTTGGGAATAAATGGATTCAGTTGACACACATTTGTTTAACCTCTGCTCTCTAAGCTTGACCCCTGTCTTGTTGTGTTACAGGTGCCAGGATGGATGAGACGGAGAAGTACAAACAGCGACTGGAGGCCATTGCTGTGAGTCGACACGTACACACACAAATGCAGCTTTCTCTGTTTGAACAAATCCAGCGACTGATGTGTATGCGGTGCTCTAATGCGCAGCCGGCATCATGAATAGACATGTTTAGGTTAATCACAGCTGGCAGATGGAAGTGGAGTCTCAAAGAACTAGATTGAAGTTGTTATGACGCAGGCTTTGGGGAAAACAACATGAATCTGAATGTGAAATGCTTGATTATAATCATCAAATTCCATGATATCTTTCATTGAAATCTGAAGAAATTGATAATTTATTTAAAAACCAGAAACATTAGATGCTGTCATATTTCAGCAGGAAACATTGTACCAACCTAGTGTGAGGTGATTTACCATAAACCCTGCGTAGGCAGTCAATGTGTTTTTAAATAGCTAAGCCAGCTGCTCGGACTGTAAAGAAACCTAAATTAAATGGAGAATTTGTGAAAGTAAAATGTATCTCAAAGAGTAGAGGCTTGAAGTTTAGTTGTTTGCCTATTGGAGCCGATGGCAATACAGAACAGAAAAAAACATCTAGTCCATTAAAACTTGACAAACTTTATTTGAAAAGTGTTGTGGTTTTTATGTTAATGGATTTTCAAGGCGACATTTTTCCACATTTAATAATTTCTACAGGATCTCCTTGACAGTCTCTTGGCAACATCGCTCAAAAAGTGAAATCACATTTCATAGAGTTACAAGACCGGTTTATATAAAGCTCATTTATTCTTGTCTGCTTCAGATTTGTCTACATGGAGCAGGGGTGTCAAACTCAAATACACAGTGGGCAAAAATAAAAAAATCGGTATTAGTCGAGGGCCGGACTGGTTCAATGTTTATTCCAAAACGTATTGAAATGAACTTATTGCACATATTAAACCTGGAACTAACAAAGCTTAAATCATTGCCTATAAAAACAACATTAAACATTAAATAAATGAAAAATCAGTTGCATTCATTGGCTCTAACTGCACCTTTCTTATGTAATTTCTTATGATTAAATGTTTCCACAGGCCAACAACAGCTTCAAAAAACAATTTCCCTCAAAGAAAAAAACCTAACTTGCCAAGGATTTGGCCCGCAGGCCTTGAGTTTGATATGTGTGATGTGATAGAGAAAGAGAGGATAGAGTGACTAAGCTCTCTGAGCTGTCCCTAACTCCTAAATAATTTATTGAGTGTGCAATGTGGTAAGCCGGGGTGTCCCTAGTCCCACGAAAACAACACCAGGTTGCTATGGGGACAGCTGCTCTGAGCATTATGGGATATAAAGTGCACCTGATGTCTATGGTGGCAGTGTCCTCGTGACAGATGGTTGAAAAGGTGTCCCTGTTCTACGTTTTCCCAGTGATGTTTTATTCACTGCCACCTCTACTCCATCTTTGTTTCATTCTCATTCATTTACATCAGCTTGCTTATACATCTGACTGTTGAACTCAATTGTTCCACATTTGTTGTACTCCTCTTGCTCTCGCTCTCTCTTTCTCTCTCTCTCTCTCTTTTCTCTCTCTCTCTCTCTCTCTCTCTCTCTCTCTCTCTCTCTCTCCGTCAACTATTAAAGGAAAAATGCAAAATCCACTTGTTCAAGTCTTTTATACATAAACATGTGTCCCCTCTTTGTAAAGAGATTCTGCAAGTTTCAGGAAAAAATATTTGCTCACATTTTGTCCTGATCCATTTATATAAAAACCTGTTTCAAAATGAGCTGAAATGAAACCCTCTTTAATGGTCACGCATGCAGAGCACACACAGTGAAATCTGGCCTCTGCATTTAACCCATCCTATTACTAGGAGCAGTGGGCAGCTATTGCACAATGCCTGGGGAGCAATGGGGGGTGCGGGGTTGTCCGGTGCCTTGCTCAAGGGCAACCAAGTAGCAGTCCACACTCCATATTTAGGTCTGGTCAGGGACTTGAACATGCGACCCTACGGCTCACAGTCCAAGCCCCAACTGACTGAGCCACTGTCTACATCCACTCTCTTTCTTTGCAATATCCCCCTTAACCTCCCTCTCTTCCACTATCAGGAGAAGCGGCGGCTGCAGGAGGAGCAGGACCGAGCGAGGAGAGAGATGGAAGACGAGAAGCTCAGACTACAGCAGCTCAAGGTCTGACACACATACACACGATGATACCCCGCCTCATTGGTTCACACACGCAGCCTTAATTTCACTCAGCTGAAACCCCAGCAGACCCATTCCAGCTTGTTAGCAAGCTCCAAATGAATTTTGTTTTCACACACAAACACTCTCTCACACATAGATGAACTGTATAACCTCACACACTTCCTGGTTCTTCCAGTTTCTCCCAAGGTTAGAGTCAAGCCTTCCTTTGCTGATATCTTTTATTTCTTTATGTGAGTGTATGTTTACACACTGTGCAAGTCGCAGACCTGCTCTATTGTTTTCGCATCATTTCCAGACTGGCGTTCCCACTTCCTACTCCACTGTGCTACGCTGGCCTGGGGCACATTCCTCAAATTGTGTGAAATTTGCACAACATGTGTTTGTGTGCAAGCGACTATTAATGTGTGTGCCGGTGTGGTCATGCAAAAGAACATTTTGCATATGCTCATCATATTTGTGTTTGCATTTATGTTTTTGCACCAAACACAAACTGTATTTACAGTATACCATCATCTGCAGGAGGCTTCAGAGATTCATTTTAAAATGATTATGTTGCTCTCTCACAGGAGGTGATATCATAATTGCTTTTAGTACATTCATTAGCTTTGACATTGACTTTCACCCCAGGGTAGATGTAAAGATGTGATATGAAGCAGCAGCGTACAGTATACAGTAAAGCTCCTGGCCTGCAGGAAAGTTTACAGAGGGGCTGCGTCCAGTCAGCCAAAGCACAGGGGGGGGGGGAACAGAGCGAGACTTGTTCTGCTGTGCAGGAGAAAACACAGAGATGGTTTTGTGATGCTTATAGTTAGGCAGGTAGCTACCGGCTAACGGTTGCCAGATTTTGGAAACATGGGGGCCAACAGCTGGAGGGGAGTTTGAGTTTTCATATGCTTTAGTAGTCAGAATCAACACCTGGAGTAGCTGCTGGGTATTTTTTTACTGGAATGTATTGCATCGTGATAGCCACATTGTGATAAAAACTGTAATCCTGGCTGTTTTTATAGATAAGAATTACTACATTAAAATGTCCATGCAGACACTGTGTTTTTGCTTGTCAGGGTCAGAATCAGACCAGCGTTCGTCGAGCTGGCAAGAGTTCTCTGTCTAGCTCAAGGGCACTTTAGCGCCACAGATGCTTGCTGAAACAAGCCTTTGAACCAAGGTCAACTGGTTGCAACACGGCTGTCATACTGACTAAGGCAGCCTGCAGCCCCTTTTATTATTCCTGACGTACAGGGAAACAAAATAGTTTAAAATGGTGAGGGAAATGTCTCCTCTCTCACTCGCATGCTCACAACTATCACGATTAAGTGTACAACCATTTGAAAAGTTTCCATTCATTTAAGGCACATCATTTCTTTAAAGTGGAAGTTTTTGAGTGAACAATTGTATGCTTGGTTTGAAACACTGTCATCATTAAATCATTTTCCGTTAACCTTTATCAGCAGGGTTTTCTTTCTGATGGTGCAGAAAGATATCATAATGTTTGTTTGGATTTCTGGATGCAACATTAATGCAGCTTTTGATTAAGGACAAAAAACGTTTCACTTGTTCCTTGTTAGTACAGTACATGATTTAATTGCTTTAGTCCAGCTCATGAAAACAAGAAAGGTTAATAACGTTATATTGTTCACGCTATATTTGTTTTTTGTGCATCTCAAAACTTCTCCAATTAAAGGTAGTAAAGCATACCTAACAATCTTTAAAAGGTTATGTTTTCACCTTTTGTCAATTAAAAAGTCACATCTACACTGCCAGCACTAATTGCTTCAGATAATACAAAATGTGTTATATTATAAAACAGGGAACTGCTTATAGCTTTTCTTGTTTTGATGGTTTGCACTAGAAACCGTTGCAAAGTATGCCATTTGTGACATGTTACTCATTGTCACATATTCAAACACACTAGGGGTGTAACGGTTCACAGAATTCAGGGTTCGGTACGTACCTCGGTTTAGGGGTCACGGTTCGGTACGGGTTCGGTACAACAAGAAAAAGCACAAAAAAAGTCCCAAATGCATAATTCCAGGTTTGTTGTTATTTATTTTGAAAAGTAGTGCAAGTTTCAGTATAAAAATAAGGAACTCATTATATAAGGAATAATTAACTGTATTACACAGTTCAAAACAAACCACAAACAGTATCACACACACTCAGATGGCCATCTTATCTATAATGGCTGTTGTCAAACCAAAAGGTTTCATCAAGCTGTAAAACTAAAAAGAATGTCTTGAAAATATTACAAAATAAATAATAAAAAAGTGTTTCGAGAGCGCATAGCCGTTGAAATATATATGCCAATAGCTTCCGTTATTTCTTTTGGTCTCTCGGCTTTCATGTCTATTGGCTTCTTAAAAACAGCAGGGATAAGCTGTTGAACTGCTGTTGTCTTTTGCCGGGCTCCGTGATTAGCAAATCTGGCTGATGCCTTCTGATATGATTTAGCATGTTTGACGTGTGTTACCATTAGCAAACCGCTGTCGAACAACGCCGACACACCGTCCTCCCGATCCACCACACGCACTCCATCGTTATTGTAGTCCACAGGGAACCCAAAATGTTCCCACACAGCTGATTTAAAAGAAGCAGGTGGGTTCTAGCTCCTGTGTGTTATCTGAAATCGCCATACTAACTTTTCTTCTTCTTGTATTTTGTTCGTTTTTTTGTGTTTTCTTCTTGTTCTTCATTTGTTGTTTAAGGGCGACTGCCAAACAGCTTTTAGGCGCAATACAGCCCCCTGGATTATATATAGTGTTGGATACTGCCCTGAGTGACAGACTTTTTTCCCACCCATAAAAAAAAAAGGCGTATTCGTCGAGTGACTGCATGTGCCGAACCGTGACGTCCGAACACGGATACCGTTACACCACTAAAACACACACATACTTTTAAAGATTTTGTGTTAGATGTACAGCGGGGTGTAAAACAAATGGTGAAAAGCAGGAGAAATTGGGTTTTATTTTCATGTGTTTTAAGACTTGGAGGAATGTTAGGCACCTGAAACAGTCTGTTCTGATGACATTCAGAGAGAAGTCAGCTCTACAAACTTGAAAGTGCTCGTTTTTGGGTATTTTGTTCTCAGGGAACAAAGCCTCGGGCATCCTTCCTTCACTGGGTCATGTTTATTTGCTGGAGTGGAGAGTAGGAAAAAAGTACACATTGTCTGGTGACGTGGGCTCACAGTTTGTCCCCTTTTTCTTCTCACCTTTGCACCCTCAAATAACTACATTTCCCTTTGCCCTCCCCATCTCAATTCTCACTGTGCTATACATCTTACTTCTTTCTCTCCTTTCTTTTAGGCTGCATCTGAGATCATTGCCTTAAACACTCATTTATAAACAGCTTGTATTTCACGCTATAGGGATTAGTAGATTGGGATTTACATGTTCATCATCTTTTTGCTTTGTAACTGACAAGTGTAATGTGACACGACTGTAATTTTAATATCTATAGAACAGATTGCATTTTAGGATTTTTTTGTAATTTCAGACTATGTATTTAGTGTTTTCATATATTAGTGTGTGACAATGCAATGTACAAAAGAAATGAGGGGATATGTTCTTATTCTCATAGTTATTTACTGCATCAGGTATGCCGTTATGCCAGCAGACTGCCTCACATGACACACTACACTGGACTAAGCTAAACTAACTCTCGTTGCTTAGTCAGCATTCTGGTTTGGTTAATGATAAATTAATGTTGATGATTTATATCTTATTTCCGTAAGGTAATGCGTATCTTTCAGGTGTGTATTCGTTACATATGTATAAACTTAATTTGACCGTCAGTCACAGTTACTTTTGTTAATCAAGATAAATAGTTTACACACGTTAGCTATACAAATATTGATTAAATTCCACTATTTTTTAATACAAAACACTTCTTAAAGGTACGTTTATCACTACACAAGTTATCCAACCACTGTAAAATATCCAGCTGACTTGTATCACAATTCTTCAGTAACCAGATTTCTCCTTCTCCCTCCAGAGGAAGTCTCTGAGGGACCAGTGGTTGATGGAGGCACCTCCCTTGTCCCCTTCCTCCGCGGACCCCCAGAGCCCCCGCTCCCCCCTTTGGGGCTCCCAGGCCCAGGAGATTGAAGAGCACATAGACAGGTACAAACAAACATTTGTGAGTTCACATAGCTTGGGAGATCTGACACATTTTCATTGTATTTGTGTAGTAAACCTCATGGTTAATTGATCCCTGAGTACTCATGTTCTATTTCCATTTTTTGTGTAATTTCTGCTGTTGTCGTACATAATGTATGATTTGGCAAAGTTGAGTTTTAATTCTGCTAGTTTTGAAATGAACACAAGCAGAGAGCGAGAGGGGAATCCAGCAAGACCGGACTACACTTATTTTATTGCATTGCTGTTCCTGAAGACTGCACTAAGATCCCGATCTTATTCTTGCAAAGGTCCACAGTACTGCCTCGCTTCCCAGAAAGACTCCTCACACACACTGCATGTGGCCTCTGGGGGAATTAAAACATACTGCTTCAGGAATCCCTTTTTGTCTACTGTCATGTTCTTTAGATTGGGATCATAAAATACGGTTATAATCATGGTTAAAAATCAAATCAAAGCATGAACTAAGAGTGCATATTTCTATAGATTTAATGTTTGTTTTGTGTGTATGTGTGTCTGCACAACTGTGTGTCCCTCTCAGGTTGCAGTCAGAGAGTCAGCGGTTGGCAGAGGAGGAAGAGAAACTGAATGAACAGATGGAGGATGGCCAAACGGTGAGGAACACACACACACACACACACACACACACACACACACACACACACACACACACACACACACACACACACACACACACACACTTACTTGCCCACTCACTCTGCAGACAGAAATGGTCTTGGAATATGTGTTGAACAAGCTTGCTCCATCATCTTCCATTACACAGAAAATGTCCCACAACTTCTGTCTGTGGCTTTAGCCATAAATAACTCATTTCCTCTCTTAATGTAACTTTGATGTAGCACCTCTTGTTCTAAAAGCCAGAGCTTGAATGTTAGCAGACCTGTTACATAAACAATTTAGCACTTTATCCACTCCGGAATTATTGTTTGAACCCAAGTCAAGCAGAAGTGTGTTAACGTTGTCTCTCTGAAGGTCTTTATAGTACAACTCAAAAAGAAATGTTGTTTTTCTAGTCCAATATCTTTTCATTTATCTTAATCTTGGCATTTCCAGTTCTGATATAATCCACGGAAGACATGAACAGAGTAAAGGTGACCCTGAACGGTCAGTAGCAGGAAAATGTGGTTATGAAACAAAGGATCATTCATCATCAGCATGTTGGTCCTGAGTATCTCATTTTACATTGAACTATGTGATATTTTTAAATAAATCCTGATGTATTATGTATTTTAGTGTAAATATCAGCCTCTTAATAATAGTGTTGAATGAACATTTTAAATTGATTTAATAATTCAATAATAATAATAATAAAGACCACCTAGACTAGGTTGCATCAAAAATATGCAGGACCTTTTTAGAGCAGCATCTTGGTGAAATCTTTAGAAAGACTAAATAACAACAACATAAGACTACTGTTTAACAATCAAACGATGTATTCAATAAACAGAGCACTCGTTTATGAACGTTGTATTTCACAGGACAAACAGCTGTGTCCTTCTCTTGCTCTCCCTCTTGATTAAATAACAGTTGCTTTATTGGGGTAATATAACAATGTGCTCCATTTCAGTTCAACAGCAACTTCACACCTGTACACGCTCCACATTCACACAATAAACAGCATGTGAACATATGTTCAGGACCTAAGAAAAGCTGTCTTCAAACTGTCAAAGCTACACACATATATCATAACTGTTTATCTATGCAGATGAAGTTTAAGTATATGAAACTGTGGAAAGGGATCAACTGTGTGTTGTTTTAGTCATGACATTCTGACTGGTCAGAAGGGGGAGTGATTGAGCTGAAAATCCCTCCCTCACATCAGGGAGTCAAAACATGAACTGGGCTGAGCCTGTCTGTGCTTCAGACGACTAATTCCCAAATATTTCCTGCATTTTCTTTAAAGCTTGTGGGTATTCCTCTATTTGCTTGTATTGTTGTCTTTATACTATCCCTTAGAAATACAGAGGATTAGGCAACACTACAGAAACAGTTTCAACATTTAAGAAACAATTTATTTAATCCCTCCATTGTTTTGCCCAACAGGAGGCAGTGAAGGTGGCAGAGGCCGCTGTAGGTAAGTGGGTTCAGATTCACCTTTCGGTACCAAGACATGTTCAAATAACAGTGGGCATTTATTGAAGTTGCATTTCCATTAAGTTTTTACCAGAGAAAGTGATAAATCAATGCTAATTTTATTCTGTATAATATTAGAGTTGTTTACATTAGCATTTTCAAGCAATTGAATATGACAAGCTCAGTAAATAACAGAGAGCAGAATGAAGCATCCATCTGGCTGGCTATCAACAATCTGTCCAATACATGTCAGAACTTTGTTCAGACACACTCTATTACTGCTCTTACTTAATTTCATCAGTACATATTGATTATATTTAATTAGTTTTGTGCTTTAACTCCTATCCCATCTTCTATTGTTCTGCATGACAAGACAAGTTATCCAAAGAAGCCGCATTGTCATTCTCTCAAAATACAATAATAGTAAAGGTATCTTAGTTTGCATATTAATTTAGGTAACAATGCTTAATGGGGTAATTGGCTGATAAATCGTTTATAGTTCAATACTGCTTTCTGTACTGCATGTCTAACTGAAAACTACTGCTACCTGCAATAAACGCAATTATTTTCCTATCTAAGAAATGGTCCGAGGTGCTGTGGTGCACAACGGAGAAAACAATGCAACAGGATTGGGTGAGCATGGCTTTTGACTTGTGTGTCATAAAATACACACAGACATGCATCACGATATTCTCATAAAGCTCACGTACAAAGCAGAATGATCCAGAAACAAAGGAAAGGAATCCTTCACATGTTTCATTTAAATTCTTATTGGTGTCAACATGTCTCTCATCCCTTTAAACCTGACATTTCATTTTCTTTCCGGTCTTTCTCTTGTTAATTCTCATTTAATCTTCTTCCTTCCCCTACCCCTTAAAGACCATGAAGTAATTTATAATGTATACATAAACTGATATTAAGAAATTAGCATTACAAAGGAAAGAGTGGCACCCTCATACCTATTCTTCACAAAAGTTCATACATGCTGTTATGAATATTTACGCATGTTGTATAAGATTGTGCATATATATTTATGCTAATAAGAAGTCAAGTGCATAACTTGCACTTTTAGAGGGCAGCGGATACGCTGACGGGCTGCTCAACTAGAGAGTTCTGAAAAGGAAATTATCCAATTGTATTTAAATCATCTGTGCTCTCGCTTGACACTGCTGAATCTATATTTCCTTAAGCGTTCTCTTTACTTTGCTCCTAGTTGATCTGTTGCTTATTTTCAACTTTTGTATAATATGTCTTGTATGTATTCTTGACGCTAATCTAAATACCTCTTTTTTCAATTTCTTGTTTTGTAGCTTGTCTTTTATAGTAATAAATAACCATTTAAAAGGGGCTGTTACATTCTGCTCTTTAACAAATGGAAGGCTTTTTTCATTAGTATACACTTGCTTCTAACAGTGTTAGAAGTACCCTTTTATTACATTCTCCAATTTTTATGATTAGGGTTCACCATAGGAGGTAAATGCCTTTTCTTTGTAATGCATTAAGACTAAGAAAGCAGCACCTGCTGTTAAACACATCACACGACATGAATTAGCTGTATTAGGCACTGATACACAGTTTCAACATACATTTCAATCAAGTCAAAGTGAGTCAACATGAAGAACAATTAAGGCTGATAATCAGTGTTAATGACTTTGTGGCTTATTGATTGCCAATTCACATCATCTACATTCATGAACAGCATTCACTTTTCTAATAAACAAAAGGCACTGTTATCACCCCTTGTACTCACTGTGATATTTATTTGATGTTTCTTTCTTTTTTTAGATGAAGAAGTAAAGGAAAACCTAAGCACACTGCCCGATGAACCGGTAGCTATCATAACCAATGGGGGAGGAAACTTGGAACACATCACTCAGTCCACCACTAATGGAGCCTCTGATGGCGAGATCAGCGTGACATTTCAGCCTGGGTCGAGCCTGGGTGTTTCTGAGGGAGAGCCCGGACAGGGGATAAATGTCAACAACAATGACGAGGAAGAGGAGGAAGAAGGGATTCTGGTGATGAGAGCAGAACGTGTGATCATCACAGATGAAGGGGAAGATGTACCTGAGGATCTAACATCCCAGGACGCTCAGCAGGAGAGCATTCAGACTCCTCTGCCAAATGAAGAAGAATGCAGGGAAACAGAAACTGTCACACAACCAGAGAAGAGTGAGGCAACTACAGAGGCAAACCTAGCAACTGGTGAAGGAGAAGTGCAGGGAAACCAAAATGGAGAGACAAAAGCAGAAGGACAGGACCAAGAAGACCTGATCTCAGTGCAGCTGCAGTCCCCAGCCAGCGCTCTAGAGGGCTCCACAGTGGCTTCAGTGCCCGTCTACTCTGAGGGTCAACCCCCCACCCTCACCTTCACCACTGAGGGTGAAGCTGCAATGTCAGCTGAGGAAGTTGAGGCCGAAATTAAAGCTCAAGTCCCTGCCACGCTCCTCGGCCAGTTCCAGGAGGTTCCCCTGGCTGGTTCTCGGGAGAACCTGAGAACGGAGGCACCGCCGGGGGAGCAGGAACCTCTTCTATCGCAGGCCAAAGCCCCTGACCCCCGCATAGAGCCAGCAGCAGCAGTAGCAGCAGCAGCAGCAGCAGCTGTCAGCACAGAGACACAGAACCCCCCCAGGGCTGGCCAGGGCGAGGAGACCAGAGCACCCAAACACAAAAGCTGCCAGTGCTGCTCGGTCATGTGAAGAGCTCTTCCTGTGGATCCCCTCCCTCCATAATCAGTCTGTCTTTCTGCTCCTTTAATTCATAACACACTCCTTCCCTTGTCTCTTTGTTTAATTGATTTCTTTTCAAATTAGTCCACAAGCCATTTCCCCTTACCTTCCTCTGTTTTCTGCCCTCATTCCTTTTATTCATCTTGAATCCCACTCTTGAATTTGATGCTCCAAGAGGAAGTGAGCCCTCTCTGATGTAAACACGGGGGAGAGGTATGAGCTGGACTAGTCAGTGTTTAAAGTGCCTTTAGCAGCTCTCTACCCAGAACTTTTGAATTATCTTCTCAGACACTGTGGACCAAAATGTGAGCTTTTTTTCCTCTTTTTTTTACACTGAGTTTGATTGATTTTTTCCCTAGTTTGCAGATGAGCCAGCCAATCTACATAGGATCATAAAACCTCTACATATGAAAAAGAAAGTGTTGGAAGCAGGTCAGCAAAAACAGAATACATATGGATTATTTTTAAACGGTTGTATTAGCATGTCTAATTCATTGTTTTTTTTCATTTAAATATGAGATTTGTCCAAAGATCCAGAGAGGTTCAGAGAGGACATTCATTTAATTTAATGCCTTTAAAGCTGAATTATTATTGATTTTGGTCTTTTAGTAAAGATAATTTTAATCCAAGCATAGGGCCTGAACATTTTATTTATACAGGTTTTGACAATATACAGACTAATAGTATGAAATGGTCTAATTCCTTAACGGCGTGCACCACTGAATATTGTGTGGCACGTTTCAGTTTTAAAAGAGAGTTGCCTGGAAGTATGAATTTTGTATTTTCACCAGATGTGCTTTTCAAAGAGAGGCTCCAAGGCTCCTGAGAAAGCTCTGTGCATGATGTATAAACTGTAGACAGAAACACGTGGATTTGAGAGTGTCTGAGCTGTCAGCTTTGAAATGATTTGCTGAATGGTTTAACGATTAAACTGACATTTGTGATACATTGCTTGGTGTACTTGATGTTTTTACAGCCTTTCTGGACTCCGAACAGTGGCATTTTTTCTGAATAAATAACATTGCTCGTGCAAAGACCAAAACACTAGATTATGTTTAACCATTAATCTTTTATTTTTCTGATTCCTAAACCAGGAACAACTGGTTTATACAATAATATAATATAAAACTCTTGCAAATTTAACAAAATGGGAGTCTGCAGCCTGCCTCAGACATTTCTCTACACATGCAGCTTTAGTTGTGGTAAATGTCGGAAAATAAACTAGAACTGACAGGGTCTGAAAGAGCAGGATCACACGGACTGAACTCATGAGGTGATGACCTGGTGTTCACTGCACTGAGTTTTCTTTTTAAAAGGTCCTCCACTCATGCGAGTACATGAAGCTCCAAACTGCCTGGGGGCCCTTGTGGTCGGTCCATGGCTAACACACAGCCATCTCAAGAGCCAAAGCCTGGGTTTTGGAGGAAAGAGAAGGAAACAAATCAGCAGTTCAGTGTGTTAAATGTTTTATTCATGCCTTAGAAATCACTTTTCTTCATAAATATAAAATCTTCATAATATAATTTCTAACATTTGGTTGGTGGTATTTTCAGATTGCACGCAATTAGAGTCTAATTTTAAGTATAAAAACAATGAATCTTAAGTGTCCGATTGTGTTTTGGCTGTTGAGTTAGCGGACATTGTCCTTTGCTCTTTTAACAGCAAAGGATAACAAGCGTTGGGAAAAACAATGTCAGGTATTGCACAACTGGAACTTTCTGGTGCATTTTCCCCATGAAACTGGATGGTTTTAGTTTAAACCGCTGTGCCAGTGAGTTGAGTTATAGGGGGTGCATTAGCTTGTGTTGATCAAGGAACTCCGTGCCGCAGCCTCTTCAAAAGGCTTTGGGATGTGATATATGTTCAAAAGTGTATATAAAATGAAAATATTCAGTGTGTGTGATTGCTTTTAGTCAAATGTGTGCTGAGATTCTACTGCACTCAGATGTTACTTTAAGTACAACAGAGAACTTGAGATGCCTGTGAAGCCTGCATCAATAACAAACTGGCTATTGTTTTTACATCATTTTTTTAAATGAAAAATATGTCTATTGTCTTATCCTCAGCTAAATCTGATAGATTACTCACAAAGGGAAACTTGTTTTCCTATAGGCTACTCCATCCTATGAGTTTCCTTTAATATTGTTTGATATAATAACAACAATAAATATATTTGATGCAACCGCCTCAGATGTAAACAAATTAAAAAAGTAATTAAAAATCAATTCTGTTAGTGTCCCTGAGCGGATTAGGTTAATCTCTCTAACCAAAAATGTAATTTCCTTATATATTTGCAATTGAATCAGTGCAGTTACAAATATTGTCAAGGCTCACACACTAACGCTTGTGAGGATTCACAACAAAGCAGATAATAGAGCAAGCAGCATCCTGTTCCAGGCTTCTTGTTTAGCTGACCAGTAATACATTCTCTTAACATTATTTTATTTCAAAACAAGCTGACATTTTGACAAGCCACAGTAAAAAAGTATAAATAATACATGTAAAGATGTGATATGATTGAAGCACACATTGTAGTGTTGTTCCAGCCACAGCTCTAGTAAAGTCCTTCAATATCTCAAGGCAAATTGTACCTGATAGATCTCATTCACTTTGAAATAGTTATATGTTGTAGGCTGCAACTCATTTCCAGAATTTACCAACCAAGAACTTGCAGAATGCCAAACAAACTTTAAAGAAGGTTTTGAAAATCCCTTACCTTACCTGCACTAAATTGAGTTTAGATTATATGACTGACCATGAACCCACAACTACAGATAAGAGAGAACAAACAGTAACTTTTTTATTCATTTCACAGTCACTAAGTCAACAGGTAGTGACCATAACACTAGAAACGCGTCTTTAACAGACTCAGTTTCAGTTACACACCACGGTGCAACTGATACCTTAAATAAATAACCATACAGCAAGGCATCAGACGGACATGTTTGCTATTTTTGCATTTGTTCTCTGTTTGGTGGCTGTGAGCCATTCAGCTCCTCTGGTCTGTGAAGACGTGCTCCGGCCTTTGGTTGGGCTGTATAACGAAGATGTGGATGGAAAATGGACTTTAGTTGCAGGAAGTCTGAATGACAGTGCAGCCGCAGACGACCTAAAAAGAAGAAAGAGCGTACCGACTGACCTCCACAATTTCACAAATACGGAAGGCAACCGTGTTGGTGACCTATGCCAGGTGGATTCCCACATCCCAATCGGAGAACATTTGTTTACAATTAAGGCAGCGCCCTATAACTTTACTTGGAACTTCTACCAATCGACCTGTCCAGACTGTGTGCTGTTGAGGTTGAAATCAGCACCGAGTAAGTCAGTAGACATGTACCTGTTGAGCAAGAGAAGGGAGGTGGACCAGAAAGAGATGGATGACTTCAGAGCTCAGGTGGAGTGTCTGCACTTGCCTCCACCTTTCATAATAGCTCCAACCAAGGAGGTTTGTCCAGAGAAGACTGCCAGCAAACCAGCTGCCAATGCTGAAGAAACAGCAGAGGGACTAAAGGCTAGAGACTTTGGTTAATGTTGTCTTTTCACAGTGTGAATACATGTTGATGCATTTCAGTCTCAGTCCATCAGAGAAAAATAAAGGATTTTAAAAGTGTGAGTTGTTTTGAGTTGAGTGTACTTTTTCAAACCGTCTTGAAAGGGCTAGCTTAACATCCTGTATCATCATCATCATCATCATCATCATCATATACAGTCTTTGTGAGGTGCATATATAAACACAACACATTGACAAAACAGTAGTTCCCAACCCTTTTGACTTTTGATCCATTATGAACCGTGTATTTGGCATCCTTTGTCACACCAAAGATACATTTTCACACTTGACTTATCTTCACTTGTCCAGAATATATTGGTAGAGAGGGAAAAGGAACAAATCTTTTTTTTGTATCTCTCTTGATGTGTTTGGGTCTTGTTTTACTAAATGAAATGATTAAATGTTTACATTTCATTGTTTAAGACTTTTAACAATTTTTTTTGATCAAGCTCAATTGTCAAAAACACCCTACAACATTTTTATTTACACCATGAATAAGTCATGGGCTTATTTACTCTCAGTGTGTGAAAGAATATTTCACATTATGAATCAAAAGTATTCAATTGTGTTTGTTGCTAGGTGCTAACAGCATTTATGCTGTTGAGTTAGCAGAAGCAGACATGTCCCTTTGTTCTTTCAACAGCAAGGACAACTAACGTGAATTAGCAAACATTACAGAAACAATTTCCAGTATTGCGGACCGGGGATCTGATGCATTTTCAATATTTAGTTTACAACCATACAGCAGGTAGGTAAGGGAGGTCCAAATATCCTCAGTAAATTAAGTTTAGTTTAATGATTCCACCAAAAAAACAATGCATATTATGGAGCTCATTATGTGAGCCAATATGACTCAAACAGTTCTATTGACTGATTTAAAAAATATCTGAGTTTCATTGAAATCTCTAAAATCTAACATGTACAGTAAGATGAGTAAGAAATACCATATGTAAATTATCACAGTGTTGAAATAATAGTTTTTTACTAAGAAAATAGGGGGAGTCTACTCTCATCATTGTGCAACTGGATTTCTTTGATTTGCCACTACAATTCAAAAGCTTTGATCGTGTAGTTACCCTCATTTCACAATCACAGAATCCACAGGGGAAAGGAGACTCTGCTCTCTGGTATTTTCTGTATTGTGAAAACTGAGGTGTCTGAAATAACTTTAAAACCAGCAAGACCTTTTCATTAGCCAAATTCTTTGTACCAAACAACATTGTGACTGGCTGAGGTATCTCAGGGACTTCAAGGGACACAATATGTTTCTTGCTGTGGGAGCCATGGCTCTGCTCTGCCTGGTGTCTGTGAGCCATTCAGCTCCTCTGGGTTGTGAACACTTGCTCCGGCCTTTGCACCAGCTGGATCCTCGTCCGTTGGAGGGAAGATGGGCTTTAGTTGCAGGCAGTCTGAGTCATCTCCCGTACTTGGATCGATTCAAACAAAGAGACAGTGCCGCTGTGAACTTCTCCAGCAGCACCAGTGACACTAACATTTCCTACTCTCGCAGCATTCGGTTAGATAATAAGTGTCTGTATCATTCCTACAACATCTCCCTGGAAGGCAGCAGCTTCACGTACGATGGGACTGATAAAAGCAACCTCACCGCAAACTTCGTCCATTCGTCCTGTCAAGACTGCCTGCTGATGCGCATGGATGTGGAGTCTGGCAAGAGGCAGCATTTGTACCTGTTCAGCAGGAGGAGGGAGGTGGAGCAGGAGGAGATGGAGGAGTTCAGAGCTCAGGTGGAGTGTCTGAACATGCCTCCACCTGTTGTGATGGATGCTCACAAAGAGCTTTGTCCAGGAGCTCAAACTTTGTCCAGGAGCTCAAACTTTCTCGTTTTGAGAAACATGAGGGACAGAAGGACTGAAAACATTAACAAGATAATTAATGTTTGGATCAATTATATGTACAAATTAGCAGTGAGAGGTTATTTGTTGGAATAAATCACACCTATTTCTTCACCTTTTTACTCATCTGTATTAAATTGCTTTTTTAGGTCCTACACTTCAGAAGAGTCTGTCAACCTGTTTTAAATCGTTTTGCAAATCCTGTTTCAAAAAATGATGCATTCCCCCTTTGATACATCCCTTCCTTTTCGCATGGTGCATCAATTCTGCAATAACAATCTTTGTGTTGTTGTCATGTCTCACAAATAAAACATTTCCTCTAAGTAACTGGAATCAGTCTCTTGACTAAAGTTTGAAAATAAATATAGAAACAAGTCAATACATTTACATATTTAGATGTTAAATATTCTGTAATCTTTAGGAGCCAGTGTTGCAGATTGGAGGTCTTGTTTTTTATTTCTCTGTCATATTCACCTAATACCATTTAAGTATATAGACATTCATACTAGTCTACTTTTTAAAACACATTTTCTTAACCTTTGT